GGGCAACAAATTGAGGGCAGCTTCAGTAATAGGTGTGCCACGTTCCCAGCAAAAACTTCAGCTGTCGGGCAGCGGCACCACCGTGGTGCTTGCACACAACCGTCAGGTGGAAGGAAGCGTAGTCTTTGCCAAGCTTTTTAACTCGAACACGATTGTGGGGTCGCCCGCGCGATTTGTGGTGGGGTGCAACCTGCAGGGCGATGAGGAGGTGTCGTACGACGGTGTGTTTCCGGAGAAGGTGGTGGTGTTCAGGTGTGGCACGTGCAACGATGATGCGGCGTGCTACATGCCTGGGACGGAGTCGGTGGACCGCAGCTCGTGCTCGTGCAGCTGCAAGGACGGATGGCATGGCGCGTCGTGTCTTCCCTTCGACGTGCCCAACACGGTTGTGCCGCCCGTAGCGGAGAGAGCCGTCGACGGCGACACGAGCTGTGTGGTGAACCAGACGCTGACGAGCCTCACGCTGAAGATGTGGAAGACGCAACACTGCTACATGGGTGTGACATTCAGCGGCGTGGGTGCCGTGCTGACGTTCTTTTTCGACAGTATGCCGCTGCATCTCCCCATCAACATCACGCTCACTGGGTGCACATTTCGTGAGGGTGCCGCGCTGCAGTTTGTTGGGGGAGTTGCGGCGGTCGAGTCATCCGGCGTTCTGATCCGCGTGAGCCAGACGGTGATGCGGTCCTCTGTTGTTGCTTTTATACATGCCCTCCCGCAGCACTGCGACATCGCCATCACGGAGGTTGATGCGGTGCAGACCTTCGAGGTTGAATTGCCGGGTACTGTGAACAAAATATGGTGCGTATTGCTGCTGGACGACGTCGTGTTGAGTGCGTCCTCGCTGTTGGTCAGCAACGTCAAGGCGCATGCAACGAATCGTGATGCGCTTGGTTTGTACTCGACTGGGACGCTGAAGCTGGTGGGTGGCAGCTCGCTTCACGCGCGGTACTGCATCTTTGAGGGATACACAAACGTGCTCTACGTGTACAGGCTCAGTGTGAGTGACCACTCTGTTTTTGCTTTGCTCAATAATACGATTTTCTCCGGGGTAAGTCTGCTGTATCAGCGCCAAGGATTCAGCGTGTCGGATCACAGCGTGGTGCGTGTTGTGGGGAACAGCGGCTCCGTGCGCTACGCCATCTATAACGATGACTTGTGGATCGTTCAGCAGTCAAGCTGGTTGGATTGGCGCGGCAACAACGTGGAAGTGGGTGCGATGTTCTACGACACTGAGTCCACATTTGTGAGCATTGACAGCAGCAGTGTGGTGACGCTGACAGACTGCAGGATGGGCTCGACGGGGTTGTCGGTATCCTTACTGAAGCGGGCTGACGCCGGCTACCGGTTCGTTGCTGGGTGTCTGACGGTTGCGGGACGGGTGTTGACGACGGCGTCTGAGCTGGAGCTGAACGGCATTACCAACGTGACGACGGTTGTCGCATGCGGGGAGTGCACGAAGGAGGGCGACTGCTTTGCCCCGCTGACGACGGCGATCAGCGACTGCGAGTGCCAGTGCGCTGCTGGAGGGCACGGCGATGTGTGTGTCCCGGCGCCTGTGCCTGCTGGCCCGCCACCGCCACCGCTGCCGCCAGTGCCGCCCACACCGCCACCGCCGCCGGTAGGTGAGTGCATCAGCGACATGGTGTACCCCGAGGTTGCGCAGGCTGTGGGCAGCGGGCTGTCGTGGCTGTGCTACCGCAACGTGACGTTCAGTGGGGGCGGCATGAGCCTGACGGTGCTGATAGGGGCGATGACGGGCGAAGTGACGAATGTCACGTTCGATGGATGCAGGTGGAGGGACGGCGCCGTGCTGTTGCTGTTGGGCAACGCGTACGCCGCTGTGGGGTCGCTGAACATCGTCGTCACCGGCAACACATTTAGTGACGCGCTGCTCAGTCCGGAGGGTGTGTTTCCACCGCACACGAACATCACGATCAGCGGGAACCGCTTCACGGTCACGAGGCTTATCCCTCGGACGGGTTTGGGCCTTAGGAATCCGTCGTGTGTTGCGATGAATGGACTGGCGATCACCAAAGAATCCGCGGTGGTGCTGAGCGGCAATGTGTTTCAGAGTGTGACGGCATCGTCAAGCGCCATTTACGTTGTCGGATCTTCGCTGAGGGTGTCGTGGCACTCCGTGTTTGCGTTGGTGGGCAACACGTTTCATATGGCTGGCGGTGACAGTACACTGATACATCTTGAAGGGTCTAGACAGTCCTTGTCGCTGAGCGTTCTGAACAACTCTGCCGTGGTGATCCGAGGCAATCTTGTGTCGAGGCGGGTGAGGTACTTTTTATTACTAACTTTGGCATCACGTGTGGAGTCTCGGTCAGCGGTTGTGTTTCAGGGCAACGACATACAGAGAAGCTCGGTTGTGTTTTACCCAAGCTTTTCTTCATACATCTACTACAACTCCTGGCTGCAGTTGAGCGGCAACCTCTGCCGCGTGTCCCCATCGGCGGCTTTCCTCTTTTTGAACCCCACGGTGAATCTCCGCGACTCCACGGTGTCTGTGTCTGGCAACCGGTTCATGTCCAGCAGGGGCACGCCGACAGTTCTGCGGATATCCACGGGGTCCCGTGATCTCACAAACGGAGCGATTGTGGCTGCGTGCAACACTGTGAACGGCGAGGAGAGGGCGGAACACAGCATCCCGTCCGTGTACAATGCCACCATCTTGACCTGCAGTGATCCATGCGCCCTCGCGACGTCGTGCTTTCCCGCGTACACGACGACGGCCTCGAGTGATGGCTGCGCCTGCAGGTGTGCAGAGGGCGGCTACGGCGATGCGTGCCTGCCCGTCGCTGTCCCCGAGTCACCGAGCACCGACGGCGCCGACTTGTGCGTGCAGGACGTGCGTGTGGATGTGGAGGTGAGCGCCGGTTTTGGGACGTCGGTGGCGTGCTACGTTGGCGTGACCTTTGCGGCGGACGTCGTGGTGGACGTGGAGTCGATGTCAGGGAGCGTGCGCAACGTGACGCTGACTAACTGCACGTTTGTGAGCGGAGCGAGCCTGTACGTTGTTGGGTGGCGGTCCGACCCGCCTGCTGGAGAGCGCGCCGATGTGTTGATCAGCGGGCTTGCGTCGCGTTCTGGCGGCGGCGTGCTGGTGGCGAACCGATTTCCGCCGGGCTCGCGCGTCGCTGTGGTGGACTCGGTGCTGACCGCAGAGAGGCGTGTTGCGTACCGTAATGCCTACGGCCTTGGCGACGCCTCCGCGTGCCTCGTGTTGCACAACGTGAATCTGACGGGGAGCGTGCTGACCATTGCGCGCACGCATGTGGCGGCTTTGTTCCGCGACGCTGTTGGCGTGTTGGTGGTTGGCGGCGTGGCGCTGTCGTCGCGCGGAGCGCTTTACTTGGACGGGCTGTTGGTGCAGACGGCGCTGGGGCTGTGCGTGTCGGTGGAGGGCGGTGTTGCGGCCAGCGGCGGCTCCGTGGTGGCGCTTGTTGACAGCGACTTCCTGCTGTGCAAGCACGCGGTGTCTGTGCGTGGGGCTGTGAGCGTGTCGGGCTCAGCTGTGGCGCTTGTGCGGAGCGAATTCTCTTCGACGGAGGACTACGCGGTGGCGTTTTATTCGACGGTGAGCCTGGCCGGCGGGTCGATGCTGCTGGCGAAGGGCAACGTGCACGACGGCGTCTCGAGGGAGATGCTCTACGCCGCTGGCGCTGTGACCGCTGCTGGGAGCACTCTGAGCTTTGTGCGCAACCGAGCGCTGCTGCCGCGGATGCTGTCGGTGAGCCTGTCGCTTGCGGATGGGGCGCATTTGAGGGTGGCGTGCAACGACGCTGGTGGACGTGTCCTGTCGACGGCGGAGGAGTACGCAGCGGCTGGCTTTGGCGACGCTGGGAGCATCGACGTTGTTGGGTGCGGCGAATGCGACAGGGACACGCACTGCTACGCGCCCGGGACGGCGTCTGCGAGCATGAGGAACGGTGTGTGCGTGTGCCTTTGCGGCAGCGACGGGTACGGCGAGGCGTGCCTGCCTGTGGGTGCTCCCGCACTGCCGCCTGCTGTGGGCACTGCGTCGAGTGTGTTTGTCCGCGAGGGTGTGACGGTACAGTCGGTGTTCGTTGTGCCTGCCGGCGTGAGCGAGGTGACGCTGCGCCACGTTGTGCTGGACGGCGTGAGTCCGGTGCTCTACGTGCCGTGGATGGCGCGGGACGGCGTGCGGATCGTTGTGCAGAACGTGTCGCTGCTGAACGGTGCCGTGCTGTACGTGATGGGCGGTGGATTGTTGCGCGGTGCGGGTGCGGCGGGGAGCGACGAGAGCGGGCCGGTGGAGCTGTCGGTGTGCGATGTGGAGGCGCTGAACGGTGCGCTTGTGCTGACCGGCACGTTTCCCGCGGGGTCTGTGCTGACGGTGACCGACTCCCTGCTGGTTGCCGCGAGGTCGACGCCGCTTGTGTATCTTCCCGGCTCGCGGTCCTCGCCGTACGCACCGGTGCTGGTGCTGTCGGGCCTGCGGCTCGTGCGGTCCGTGCTGGTTGTGTCCGGCGTGGCCCTCGTGACCGTGATGACCGGTGGGCGGACGGTGGTGGTGGACGGCGCCGTGCTGGAGCTTGTCGGTGGCGGTGTCGCGCTGGACGCGGCTGTGCTCGGTGGCGAATATGCGTTGTATGCGAGTGCGCGCGTGGTTGTGTCGGGGGGCGCTGTGCTGCGCGTGTCGGGGAGCCAGGTGTACGCCGCGCATGGGTTGGTGTTTGACAGCGGAGTGGAGGCCAACGCATCTGCCGTCGTAGTGAACGACAACGCCGGTGTGCTGACCGATGGTGCGCTGCTGGTGCTGCGGGAGACGGCGTCGTTTGTGTCCGGATCGTGGCTGTCGGTGCGCGGCAACAGCATCAGCGGCATGCTTCTGTCGGTGCCGTCGTACCCGCGCAGTGCGGAACTGGTG